TATGTCGAGTGTTAATCTGATGCCGTTTCGAGTATAATTTTTTTAGTTTATATATAGTAAAAAATATTTAATTTAAAAAAAATATTTTCTATAACAATTTTTGGTGTTAAATTGCCGCCTTGTTATAAAATCACCTGCACACCATCTCAAGTGCTGGGAGTGTTTGCCGAGGTTCAGCTTGGTAAGTGACTTGGTATTTAATATTTAGTAGCTTTAGTATTGCTGATTCGATTAAATTTATATTTATCCGTATGCTACCTTATGACAGAACTAAGTGGGTGTTATAAACATATGTCATGATTTATGTCTTGTAAGTTAGGTATAGGTTAGGGAAGTAACGTATGAAACTCAAAACTGTATGTTTATATATACACAGTGTAGGTAATACCATGTTTGAAATATACAGGTTATTGCACACCGTCGTTAATTGTTATCTGTATGCATTACATTACAGATACATACTGTTTATTATTATTCAATGTAAAACTTAATTTTCCATATGCTATTTTTTAATATGTCAAACGAATTTGTGTGATTTAATAATTGTTTTTTTGTTTAGATTACAAAAATGTATAACTCAGTAGAGTATTTTATAATTTTTCATATATAAATATATATCATAAACTATAATTGAATCGGTATGCTTGTTTTAAAAATAGGTATTTATTTGAATTTTTATTGACAGTTTATGTTGATGTTTATGTTTAAAAACAATTTTTTACATTACTATAAAAATGTGTATTTAAGTCAAGAAAATCTATTATATGTGTTTTATATATACATGAAAATTGTCCAATGGATTTTTTCCAATGTATACTAAATGTTTTTTTTAACCGCTCATGTTTTTATTGTTGTAACGTGTATTTCTTCTTATCAAAATTCTGCTTTACTAAATGAAATCTATTAGTTTATAATTTATTATATAGAGAGCCTGGTTTCACTGAAGGATCCTATACTTGTAGTCAAACTTTACAAACATATTGAATGTTAATATTTTAGGTATTAGTCATTTGTTATAAAGTGTAATTGTTGGCGTCTCAAAATTGGTTAGTAATAAAATATTTTCTAATATCTTTCTATTTGTGGTTATTTGGTATATGTTTTGTTTTTCTTATTGTCTTTTTTTTATATAACAATTAAACAGAAATTAGTAGAAATAATAAAATATTTCTTTACAATTATTAAGGTTGTTGTGTAACGTATCATTAAAATTATGGTGTACAGTTACATCATATGATTAATCATATTGTTTGTTGGTGTTTTTAAGTTGTTTGACATTTAGAGTTTTATTTCATGTGTCATAGTTCATTTTTTAATTTTTTATTTTAGGCAAATTTTATTTTAAATTTAATTAAGTTAACATGGGAAAGAAAAGTAAAAGAGCCCTTAAAAGCCTTCAATATGTACGGGATTTAAGAGAAAACAAAGAATATTGCGCTGATGAAAGAGAAAAAGATAAGCAAAGAAAAGGAGTAGTACATTTAAATCCTGCAAAAAAATTACATCACAATACAATAATGTTAAAAAATATGAAAAAACGGTTGGAAAATCCTAACGTGGAGAAGCGGAATTTAGAAGCCACTCGTAAAAGACTACAAGATTCTGTCAAAAAGGAATTGAATCTAGCAAGGTCTCAAAAAGAGTAAGAAAAATAGGTTACAAAATTAAGTATATAGAAGTTCCTATAAATACGCAAACCGTCGTTATATAAATAAAAGAAAAGCTCCATGAGACAGTAGTTTAAAGTCTGTCGTACGGAAAAAGTCATGTACAGTATCAACTTACAGATAACGTGAACGTCAAAGATTAAATACTTCAAGACATAAATGGGAGACGTTGTTGGCTGAATACAACCTGCGGAAAACACAAGGTCTATCAGAAACGTGTTGCTTCATGTAATCGTCTTCGATTACCAAGTAGTATGGTTAGATGCCACCAAAAAGCAGTATTCACTATTTTAAGTAAGAAGTGTTGTATGTCCGGTGATGATACTAGTATTCCTGTGTGTACAAGTTGTTATACTCATTTAAGAAAATCAAAAATTCCTCCATTATATGTTGGTAATGGATTTGAGTTGAACACTGTACCGCCGTCGGTGTTGAAACTCAATCAAATAGAAAAACAAATGATTGCTTTAAGGTTAGCCTATATGAAAATTTGAAATGTCTTCGTCGTGAGGGTCAGTTGAAAATTCAAGTTATTTAGTAAATGTGCCAATTGATTTGACAAGAAAAACTTGTATTTTGCCTAGGAGAGCCGAGAATTTAGCAGCAATAAAAATTTTGAAGGTAAAATTAAAAAGAAAGAGTTGTTTTAAAAACAGCATTATTTGTATCAAAATGTTCGTCCAAGTTTGTTAGTTTCAGCACTGCATGATCTTATTGGAAAACCATTGTATGAAAACGCATCTGTTGATATAGATTGGCTCAGGCATGTTACTGATAGTTTGGACGTACTGAATAATGATTTAGAGTCGCTAGACAGTCAAGAATCAGATAATAGTGACA